TAAATAAACACGAATCCCAAGATTCCCCATATCTTCACATATGTTCTGGGTCATATTTCCCCATATTGTCTGGACCTCCCCTCCTCCCCTCGACTACACGCAAGAGTGACCCCGGGTAAGAGTCACCCTTGGTGCGCGGCTTTTGGGGGGCCGCGGGGGGACCAAACACGAGCGCGCAAGACGCTGCTACCGCATCGCGTTCGGCGCTCGTTTTTTTTCTCAGCGTCTAGGGACGTGCATTGAACACAGAGGAGGAAGGGCGGCGCCGTGTGAAGACCCCCTGTGGCCCAAACGTGCATCGCGTTCGGCGCTCGGGGGACCCCACTGGGCCCGCACAAGAGGTCACTCCGGCGAAAGGTCATCCTCGCGCCTTGTCGATCCCCCCGCTGGGCGATCCTTGAACAGCCGGCGCAGGTATGCGTAGTCTGGCCGGTCCTCGAAGCGGAGCGCGCGGCAGTAGTTCAGGTAGGAGGCGAAGACCGCGGGGTACCCCTTGCAGAGAGACTCGACCGACGTGGAGCGCTTGCTCTCCTCAGCAAAGGTCTTCGAGCGAGGGGGGGCCGAGGCCTCGGATGAGGCGGCGAGAGGGAGGAGGCGGAAGAGGAGGAAGAGAAGGTCGTGGTGCATCCTCGGGGGGCCCTTGTCAAGTCTGTCCCGTGGCAACCCTGTCCGCGTCGAATCCGTGTCGCACCCACGTCGGACTCGTCGGAGTCGTGTCGAATCCGTGCCGAATCTGCGCCAAATCCACTTCGAGTCCGCATCGAGCCCGCGTCGGGCACAGGAGAAGACAACCAGTTCTGGGGGGCAGGCGAGGGCCCCGAAGCTGCAGGGTAAAGAAGGAGGAGCAGGGAAGCGCAGGGCAGGGAGGAGCCGCAAGGGCGGGCAGGAAGAGGAGAACGAAACTTCGCCGGCCCCACGGGCCAGAGGCGTGCGAAAATCTCCGTTGTCAGCCTTCGAGTAATTACTTCTATCGCGCGCGCGCGGGGCTGCCCTCTTGGGGGTCCCCAGACGAAAAAGCACCCCGTGCGAGTCCGGGGCGGCCCCCGTCACGGCTGCCGGAACTCCTGGGGGCTGCCTGCGGGGCCTGCAAGAGCGTCTCGAGAGTGAAGGGGAACTGGAACACACAAATAAATACACACAAATAAAAAGATTCCCGATATCTCCTATATTTCCTGTGTTTGTGTCTTCCCCCCCACTTCCCATATTTTCCCATATTTTTTGGGGAATCGAGGATTAATTGTGTCTGTGTGTTTTTTCCCCTTCTGAAAAAGGCCCCCAGGGCGGTCTCAATTGGGCCCAGAGTCACCAGAAGCCGTTCCAAGATGCCTAAGATAGCCTCCAGTCGGCTTCAACCGCCACCAAGACGCCCGAAGATGCGTCCAATACCACTCCCAAGAAGCCCCCCAGAGGCAAAGTTCAACGAGTCCCGATTGAGTTTTAAATGTGTTCAGCGTTCTCACCTTTTCGGCCGCCGACGCTCCAAAACGGCCCAAGGAGCCCCGAAGATCGCTCCAAGATGGCCCATTCAGCCTCCAAGAGGGCCCCCAAATCGCCCCAGGGGCCCCCAAGATCGCCCAAGATTGCCTGAGAGACCTCCAAGAGAACCCCACCACGGCCCAAGAGGGCTCCAAGACGGCCTCAGAGGACTCCAAGACAGACAGGGAGAGCCCCAGGACGGCCCGAAGAGGGGGTCCAGAAGGAGAAGCCGAACAAGCACTTCGAGCCTTTTTCCCAAGAAACGCCCAGGCTGCCCCAAGCGGCCCCAAAGAGCCCCCAAAACTGCTACACGGGAGCCCCCTGATAACCCTCCGATGAGACACCAAGAAGTATCCATGAGGACTCTCACCCACAGCCGCAGCAGCGACGATCAGCAGCGCCGCATCGCCCACGAACGCGCGCGCAAACGGAAAACGATGGCACAATACGGGCCGGCGGAAGAAGCGAAATGATTGAATCGCAGTGTGGGAGCCTTTGCGGATTCTTCGAGAGCTTTGGACGCATTCCGGCCCTGCTCAGGGCCTCTTAGGGCCCTCGCGGTAGCTTCTTCGACCCCACGACATCCACGATCCACAAACAGGTGGGGCGGCGGTGTCTGCCCCCCTCAGGAGCGTTCGGTTACGTATCATGGAGGAGGAGGGGGGGGATGAAAAGAAGGAGGGGAGGGGCGGAGGAGGAGGAGGAGGAGGAGGAGGATACGAGGAGGAGGCGGAGGAGGGGGGGGCTGAAAAGAGGGAGGAGGATAGCGGTCGGAGAGGGGAGGCTCTTAAGACGCGCCAGAAAAAGGAGGGGATCCAAGAGCTTTCCGTGTAGCCAGATCCCGACCATGAGCAGAAAATAGCAAGCAAATGGTAACCAAGCGAGACAGGTCAAAATAGGCGTAAGACGTGAACTAATCGAACACATCAATGTACCAATATGTAAACAGTAAGCGCCTGGACCGCCAAAAAGTGTTAAAACCGTGACAGCCTCATTCAGGCACGAACCGCTCAGAAACCCACATTCCCAACTGTAACCCTACAACACAAATCAGAGCTGACTTTCGGTCCGTTGAACTTGGGGCAATTTCGTCAGCAGGCGACTTATCAAAATCCCACAATGCCGATGTCCGCCCTACTTCGCCGTCGCTGTTTCCAACATACTTTTGCGGACATCTCCGGTCTACTTTCTCTACGGCGGAGATGTATGCCCTACTTGCTTGCATCGTTTGGGACGCATGCCCGACACATCTCAGAGTCGGAAAATCAATCATAATACAGGTGATGCGAAATCAGGGAGATCAGGGAGATTGTGAATCTAGAAGTGTGATGGGGCTTGACCTGCGTCAACATGATCCCAGCAATGTGATTTACAGAAACTAAAGGGCGTCTCCCTATCTCGCTCCCTTCGGGATCCCTCGACTAGCCGACGCTGGGTCCATTTAGCTCCCTCCCTCTCTCCATGATTTTGTGGTACTTCTCTTCCTTCGTATTGGCTTGGAAGCCCTGCCAAGGCAACTGGCCACGATTGAAATACATCAGCACGTAGCCGATGGCTTCCAGGTCGTCCCGCCTGCTTTGCTCCACGCCGAGATGTGCATTGATTGACGCATATCGGGCGGTGCCCGTCAAACTTTTGTTCTCACGATACGGGATGTGCTGCTGAGACTTTGGGTCGCGATACTTCTTGGCGAGGCCAAAATCAATAATGTACACGATGTTGGACTTCTTTCCATGACCGATGAGGAAGTTGTCCGGCTTCACGTCCCTGTGAATGAAGCTCTTCGAATGCAAGTATTCGATCCTGTAGAGCATCTGATCCGCGATCATCAGAACCTAAGCGATGGCGGAGCGCCCCCATAGCCCCCACCCAAAATACGATGGTAACGCAATGGAAGCGCAAAGACGTGACCCGTTCTTGCAAGCCCTGTCCTGAACGCGCGTGACTCTGATTAGAAACCATCTCATGCTTTCTCCTCCGCCTCCTTCTCCCCCTCCGCCACTCGACCTGTCCAGGGGGCACTTGGCTCCAAGAGGGTGTGAATCCTGACCCGCATTCGGCCATGGCGGCCGTTTCAAACCACTCACCGCCATGCCGGCAGCATTCTGGCCCGACTGTGAGGCCATCGCGGCACCGAGAGCCATTAGAGAACACGGTGGACGTGCTGGACAGCTGCCAAGAGTGCTGCCTCCGAGCTCGACCCGGGCCACATGAGCATCGCTTCACCCCATCAGGGGGGGAGGGGGGGGCTGGTGGGGCCGGTCTACCACGGCCAAGAAGGGACGGGGATGCAGGTTCGACGCTGCTGCGCAAACAGGCCGTGGGAGAAGCCGTGCACCGCCCCGACGTGCTACACGTGCGCGCCGTACTCACCGCGCGCAAAGGCCGACCCCTGCCCTGAGGCAAACCACTGGAGACTGCGCGGGTGCGCCGAGGGAGCACTCTGCGAGCCCACGCCAGGCGAGCGTCGAAGACCACCGCTCCTTCCTCCTCTCTTGAACCCCCCCTGCTGCCCCTCCCTCCTCCTCCTCCTCCTCCTCCTCCTCCTCCTCCTCCTCCTCGTTTCTCTCATCTTCCTCGTCCTTTTCCTCTTGCTCCTCCTCCTCCTCCTCCTCCTCCTCCTTCTCCTCCTCCTCCTCCTCCTCCTCATCCCTCGTGCTGGCTCTCATATGGAGGGGGGGAGGCGGGAGAGAGGAGGTGGCGGAGCGACGCAAGCAGGCAGCAAGAGCGAACACAGGCCTGACCCGCAGGGACGATCGGAGAATGAAAGAGCGGTCAACCCGCCTCTCGGCATCTCCGCGGGGCGCGCGCTCACACGAGCCGGCCCGCAGACATCCGCACAAGCATGTAGCCTTTCGGAGGTCCGCGCTGGATCGGCGCTGGACCTCCCCCTCCCCCCCTCTCTGGCGTAGGGGGGGCTGCATCGACCTGGGATCGGCGATACATCGTCGATAGATCGGCGAAGAGGCCACCGCTCGTCGCGAGCCCGCACCTTCCTGAGCGGGGTGGGGCTATCGGGCCCCTATCGGCGTCTGTTGCGCGGAGCGCGCCAGTGGCGGCTCCAGAGGCGCCGCCTGGGGGGCGACCAGCGGACCCCACTGTGTTGATGCCAGTGGTTGTTCGTCGACGGTGGGGCCCAAAACGTTGCGGTGACGACCTCATCGCACGAGTCCGCCACCGCACGGTTTTGGGACCCTGGGGGGCCCCAGCCGTCCGAGACATCCTCGGAGAACGACCCACGTCCCAAGACCGTGCGGCCACACCGAGCCCCCACAAACAAACGCTGACTCACCACACGGTTCACGCTGTTGTCACCACACCGTCTGGGGCAGCCCGAAGGCAGAGGCTTCCAAGATGGGGTCCGAGTAGATGGGGTCGGAGGATCGCGCCGCATCGCCAATGCATCGGCGACGTCGGCGATGCATCGGCGAACTCGGTGTCCAGACAGTCGGGCTCCGCATCGCGCCGCACTGCCGATGCACCGGCGAGGCGGCGCGATCCTCCGACCCCATCGGCTCCGACCCCGTCTGGGAGGCGTGCCCCGGCCTGGCCCGCACGCGCGTGGCCTGCCCCCGGACAGAGCGGCCCGCTCTCCCTTTCGGAGGGCCCAGCGCGGATCCGAGAGGGCGCCGACGGCTCCTGCTTCTGGCGCTGCTTCTTCTCCGAGGAAAGAAGATATATATATATATATATATATATTATTTTTAAAAAGAAAAAACACGACGGCAACATGTTCGGCGATGTTCGGCCTCTGGGGGGCCCACGCCGCGCCCCCGGGCTGCCAGCGAGAGCTTCGAGGGAGCAGACCCGGTCCCCGAGGAGGGGGTGCAGACCTCGGAGGGCCGACGTCGTGAGGAGGTCGCGGCGCCGAGCGTCTGGGGAAGGAGAAGAGGAGGCAACCCGCCTCAAGAGCGGAACCCACAGAATTGCCCTGAGGTGCGTCTGAGCCGGGCTCCGAAGGGGAGTCCAGCCGCGCCGACGAGGAGGGCCCCCCGGGCCCAACAACAGGACCAAGAGCGTGCCTAAAGGCCTCGATCACCGATCCTCGAACCTCCGCCCCTCCGATCCTTGTGACTGGCGTGGACCCCTTCCTGGCCATCGGGAGGGGGAACGTTAGGGGCGGGGGGGCAGCGTAGAGGGGGGAAGCATCGACCTGGAATCGGCGATACGCCGCCGATAGATCGGCGAGAAGCATCCCGATGGCGAACCCGCACGGTCCTTGGCGGGTGGGCCGTCGGGCCCATAAAGGCGATCGATGGGCGATCCGGGGTCGACGCCTCCCGCACTGAGCCGGTCCCCCTATGGCGTTGCCCCCGGGACCTGCGCAGACCTGGCCAGCGACTCGGAAGAATCGCGCCGGAGGGTTTTCCTGGTCGTCGGCCAGCCTGAGGCCTCCTGGGCCCACCAAAAAGACCAGGTGCATGCCCAGAGACCTCGATACTCGATCCTCTAAGCTCCGCCCCTCCGATCGTTGTGACCGCCGTGGGCCCCATGCCTGGGGAGGAGCGTCAGAAAAGGACAGGCTCATGGGGGACAGCATCGACCTGGCATCGGCGATACTTCGCCCATCGATCAGCGACAGGCCCCTCGATGTCAATCCCCACGGTCCTTGGCGGGGTGGGCTATTGGACCCATATCGGCGATCAGTGGGCGATGCGGGGTCGTTGCATCCGCTCCGAGCATATTTTCCCTGGCGTTTGCCCCCGAAGGAAGGGAGGAATAATCAGACTGATGAGGAGGAGCACAACAAGGAGAACTAGGAGAACTAGGAAGACGGCGACAAGGAACACCGGTGGCGAAAGAGAAATCCACCGACCCCCGCTTGCCCAGGCTGAAAAGGCGTGTGCGACATTTGGCTGTCCCCCTCCCTCTCTCCCCCTCTCCTGGGGTCCAAACTGCCGTTTGAAGGGGTGTGGCGCGGAGTCCTCCCAGAAACTCGTCAGCGTCTCTCCCGGTGCCTCCAGAGCCCTCAAAGGGCCTTAGGGCCCCAAGATGGCCCAGAGGGGCCAAAACAGATCGCCAAACCAGTCCAAGAGAGCGTTCAAGGGCAGCCCCGCGACGGTCCCAGATGGCTTCGAGACGGCTCACGAGGCCCCAAGACGGTCCAAGAGTATTCCCAGAGGGCCGCGGAGAGGGCCCCAGGAAGCAAACATCGCCCCATCCCCTTAGGACAACATTGCTTGTAGCATAGCCCCACGCCCAGGGTTACAAAAGCTGTAAAATTGGAAGATGGTCCCACTTCCAGCGTTTTCTTAAACAGCATTCCAAACCCAGCCTGGGCAAGCTTGCGTGGTGCCACAAGAGAGGAAATACAACAACACAGAGACACAATCGAATCAAGAAGTAACTTCGCACGTCCGAGAGCAATAACCATAACGCGATTGAGCAACATTAATATGAATTCATGTATTATCCCATCATTAAACGTCAAGTAATTACTACATGAGCCCCTTCTGCTGCAAACGACTATCTCGGAATTGGAAGACGCCAGAAAATCACTCCGACGGTAGGACCCCGCATGAGAATCCTCTCGGCTAATCTGGAAATAAAACTCACCGTCGTCCTCGCGATTAGTGGGGCGCCCTTACTGTCTCCTCCGCGTCATTCTCCTCCTCGCCCTGACGAGGCCCCCGCCTGACCGGGCACGCGGGCCCATGACAATAACAAATTTGCCGACGACCAGCTCGGACGAGGCTACCCGCAGTTCGCTCACAGAAGAGGCTCCCGCCTCAGACTTCCCTGAATATTCAGACCTCAGCGGCCCGACAACGAAGATAGTTACAGGGGTTCGATGATCCGCTCGAATTTCTCACATGAGCTGCGGGCCCCAAAGGGGGCTCCCACCTGAGACTTCCTCGCAATTCACTCACAAACGAGGCGCCCGCCAGATACTTCCTCCATTTTCAAGCCTCAGGAGCCCAAAAGTGACGACGGTTCCAGGTTTCTGATGACCCGCTCGGATTGCCGACATGACGTGCGGGCCCCATAAGGAGGGGGCTCCCGCCTCAGACTTAATTCACTCACGCACGAGGCTCCCGCCAAATACTTCCTCCATTTTCAAGCCTGAGGAGCCCCAAAAAATCAATAGTTACAAGTTGCCGATGACTCGCTCGGATTGCTAACGCGGAGTGTGGGCTCCATAGGGAGGGGGCTCCCGCCTGCGACTTCCTCGCAATTCACTCACATACGAGACTCCCGCCTGAAACTTCCTCCATGTTCAACCCTGAGGAACCCACTCGGATTACCAACATGAAGTGCGGGCCTCATAGGGAGGGGGCTCCCACCGGAGACTTCCTCGCAATTCGCTCACAGACGAGGCGCCCGCCGCCAGATACTTCCTCCATTTTTAAGCCTCAGGAGCCCAAAAGTGACGACGGTTCCAGGTTTCTGATGACCCACTCGGATTGCCAACGTGAAGTGCGGGCCCCATAGGGAGCGGGCTCCCGCCTGAGACTTCCTCGCAATTCACTCACAGACGAGGCTCCCACCTGATACTTCCTCAGGTGTGGGTGTGAGTGAGCGGGTGAGTGAATGAGTGGGTGTGTGCGACTGGGGATGATGACGGTGATGATGATGAGTGAATGAGTGGGTGGGTAGGTAGATGACTGAGTGGGCGAGTGAGTGAGTGAGTGATGATGATGATGATGATGATGATGATGATCATGATGATGATGATGATGTTGATGTTGATGTTGATGATGATGATGATGATGATGATGATGATGATAATGATAATGATGATGATGATGATGATGATGATGATGATGATGATGATGATGATGATGGTGATGATGATGATGATGATGATGATGATGATGATGATGATGATGATGAT